TCAATCACATGAGTGATGGCACGTGTGACTTGACATGAAATCTTTTTTTGCTTATTATATTTTGGTATTTATCACTTTATATTGATTATTGCATATATACATGTATATATTGTGATATCCTTGGATCCATGCAATAGGGATCGGATCGTGATAAGATCACAATAATGAGACTGATTCACCTTTAAACACAGATCCTAAATAATCCCGGTCATAGGTTACTCGAGAGGGACATCGTGATAACCGGACAGACTGGTGTGCTGTATACCCGACCATATGATAGATGCAGCTGGTCTCATAGCTGCTCGTGTGGGGACACTAGGGATACAGTACATGTGCTCATTGGAGAATGAGTTCACTGATTGATCCGCTATAGGAATGCTAAATGGTTGATGATGCCTTATTGTCAGACAGTAATTCCATAGTCCTAGTGTTGAAAAGAGTTCTCGGTACGACTCAAAAGAAGGCTATACAAAAGGAGGAAGTTCCAAGCCTACTGTCCAAAGCAAGGTGATATCAAAGGTGCAAGAAAAGGGTGAAGAATTTGCTAGCAGCAAAAAAACGCCTAATTCTTCTACCCCAAGTGGCTGAAAATGCTTCAAATGTCATGGTTTTAGGCATATTACTTTAGATTGTCCAAATAAGAGGATTGCAACTTTGGTTGAAGATCATAGTGATGGAGGAGAAGACGAAGCTGACGACAGACCAAAATATGATGAAGATGAGGAAGAGGTTATTTATGCAAACTATGGTTTGTCTATTGTATTGCAACATAGCTTGCAAGTGTCTTATGTGGCCGATGATGAAAGTTGGGTGCGAAAAAATGTGTTTCACACTAAATGCACTTCTCTTGGCAAGGTATGCTTGGTGATCATCGACAGCAGCAGTTTTGAGAGCGTGGTTTCTTTGGAGATGGTGCAGAAGCTGAAGTTGGACACAATCCCTCATCCACATCCATACCAATTATGTTGGTTGCAAAAAGGAAATGACATCAAGGTAACTAAAAGATGTTTAGTTTCATTTTCTATTGGCAAGTATTATAAAGACGAAGTGTGGTATGATGTTGCTCCTATGGATGCTTGTCATTTGTTGTTGGGAAGACCTTGGCATTATGATAGAAGGGTATTGTATGATGGTTATAAACATACTTATTCTTTTAAGGTGAATGAAAAGAAGATTATCTTAACTCCATTACAACCTTACGAAATCAGTGCACCAAAAAAGGAAGTTAGTGCTTTTATGTCTTATGGTGAATGCAAATGTGAATTAGACAATGGTGGTCATGTTTTAGCCCTAATGGTAGTAGAGGAGAACGAACAACATAAGGAGACACCGAAAATCATGCAACCAATCCTAGAGGAATTTCAAGATGTTATACGGGAAGAGATTCTACATGGCCTTCCATCTTTGAGAGACATTCAACATCATATTGATCTTATTCCAGGGGCTGTTCTACCTAATAAGGCTGCATACAGAATGAGTCCCAAGGAGCATGAAGAACTTCAAAGGCAAGTTGATCAATTAGTGAAAAAGGGGTTACTTCGGGAGAGCATGAGTCCTTGTGCGGTTCCAGCCTTGTTGGTGCCTAAGAAGGATGGTTTTTGGAGAATGTGCGTGGATAGCCGCACCATCAACAAAATCACAATGGACTATCGTTTTCCTATTCCAAGGTTAGATGATTTATTTGATCAATTATGTGGTGCTTTTATTTTCTCTAAAATTGATTTGAGGAGTGGCTATCACCAAATAAGAATGAGGCCCGGAGATGAGTGGAAAATAACATTTAAAATTAGAGAAGGCTTATATGAATGGTTGGTTATCCCATTTGGGCTATCTAATGCTCCTAGCACATTCATGAGATTTATGAATCACATACTTAAGCCATGTATTGGAATATTTGTTGTAGTTTACTTTAATGATATATTGGTGTACAACAAGAGCGAAGAGGAGCATATGAATCATTCGAAAGAAATCTTTCTTATTTTGAGGCAGCAAAAGCTTTATGCTAATCTAACGAAGTGTGATTTCTTTGCATCTAGAGTTGTGTTTTTGGGGTATGTTGTTTCAAAAGATGGAATCATGATGGATCAAAGTAAGGTAGAAGCTATTCTCGGTTGGCCAACACCTGCTTCTTTGCATGATGTGAGGAGTTTCCATGGCTTAACTTCTTTTTACAGAAGATTCATCAAGAATTTCAGCTCTATTGTCGCTCCAATCACCGAATGTCTGAAATGTGATAAATTCAAATGGACTAATGAGGCTAATGATGCTTTTGAGCTTTTAAAAAGAAAGGTGACCGAAGCTCCTATCTAGTTCTACCAAATTTTGATAATGTGTTTGAGATTGAATGTGATGCATCTAATGTGGGAATTGGTGCTGTTTTGAGTCAAGACGGAAAGCCGATTGTATTTTTTAGTGAGAAGCTGAATGATACAAGAAGAAAATATTCTACCTATGATAAGAAGTTCTATGCCATATATTGAGCTTTATCTCATTGGAGTCAGTACCTTCTTGTTAAGCCATTTGTGCTATATTCAGATCATGAAGCATTAAAGTTCATAAATCACCAACACAAGCTAAACAAGAGGCATGCAGCTTGGGTGGTGGAGTTTTTGCAATCTTATAACTTTACAATTAAGCACAAATATGGTGTTTAAAATGTGGTTGCTGACGCATTGAGCAGAAAGCATTCTTTATTATCAGCAATGGAAGTCAAAGTTGTTGGATTTGAGACGTTCAAATATCTCTATGAGAATGATGTGGATTTCGGCTCAATATGACAGAATTGCAAATCAAGTTCCTTTCAACAATTTTCTATCCTTGATGGTTTTCTTTTTCGAGCTAATGCTTTATGTGTTCCATCTTGTTCTTTGAGACAAGTAATTCTAGTTGAAACTCATGGTGGTGCTTTAGGTGGACATTTCGGTAGAGATAAGACTTTAGCTCTTATTCAATTAAACTTCTATTGGCCTAAGATGTTTAGAGATGTGGAAAGACATGTAAAGCAATGTCGAGTGTGTCATTTGGCAAAAACAAGAAATCAAAATATTGGATTGTACACTCCATTGCCTGTGCCAAATGCTCCATGAGAGGAAGTGAGTCTTGATTTAGTTTTGGGATTGCCAAGAGCTCAAAGGAACAAGGATTCTATCATGGTTGTTGTTGACAAATTTTAAAAAATGTCTCACTTTGTTCCTTGCAATAAATCGAATGATGCATCTCATATTGCTGATTTGTATTTTAAGGAGATTGTTAAATTGCATGGTATTCCAAGAACTATGATTTCTGATCGGGATTCAAAATTCGTTAGTCATTTTTGGAGAACTCTTTGGAGGAAGCTGGGTACTTCTTTGAATTTTAGTAGCTCGCATCATCCACAAACCGATGGGCAAACTGAAGTAACGAACAGAAGCTTGGGAAATTTGCTTAGAAGCTATGTTGGTAAGAATATTAAGTAGTGGGATGTCATTCTTCCACAAATTGAGTTTGCCTACAATCGTTCTATCCATCATAGTATCGGTAAGAGTCATTTTGAGGTTGTTTATGGTGCTAATCCTGTTAGTCCTTTGGACTTAATTCCTCATTCTACAATAAAGCAATTTAGTGGAGATGCTGATGAAAGAGCTAAGCAGATAAAGAAGCTGCATGAGGGTGTGAAAGCAACTATCGAGAAGCAAAATGAGAGGTATATGCATGCTGCCAACAAACACAGAAAACATGTGGAGTTTAATGCAGGTGATTTGGTCTGGATTCATCTAAGGAGAGGTTTCCATCGGGCAAATTTGGAAAACTAAAACCAAAGGCTGATGGTCCTTTCAAGGTGCTTAAGAGAATTGGCAAAAATGCTTATGAAATTGAGCTACCTGAAGATTACGGAGTATCCCCAACATTTAATGTGGTTGATTTAAGTCCTTTTTATAATCATGTTGATGAATCAAATAAGGACTTGAGGACAAGTCTTTTTCAACCAGGGGAGGGGAGATTGATACGGGAGTGTCTAATTTACTACAATCTGATCATATGAACCTTGATTATGATGTGGTATTTTTTTTAGCCAACAATGATGCCTCATAATCTTTAACTCAGCCCACTCAAATATGACAGCTCATCAGCATATTCCCTGCACAAAGTTAAAGCTGTTTCATGGTGCTTTTCTTCATGACAAAGGAATGCATTAAAGTAGTTGGTTAGCAGCTGTGAACATATCTTCATGACCAAGGAATGTATTAAAAGAGTTGGTTAGCAGCTGTAAACACTTAATTTTGAAATTCCCTATACATGAAGGGTTGTTTCATGCACTAGTATTTATTTTGGTGTTTAGGACTTAGAAAGAACTTTAGAAACTGATAATATCTTGGTAGAAGCTCTCTTGGAGAACTCCCTTAAACTCTGTATCTCTTGGATGCGTCCTTGAGTGGTGAGTTTTTGATTTCTGTTCTGTATCCTCGTTTATAATCCTTGGGATGGTAAATTTCTGTATCCCTTTGTGATTTTAACTTGGTGGTGAACTATTTTTCGATCTTCTTTAAGTTTTATCGTGAGTTCATGTTTTTTCTATTCAAAACACTCATTCCAGCAAATATAACTGCATTGTGACTTTTATTCAAGAGTTCGTTCTTTGTATACTATGACATTTTCTATCTGAGAAACTGTTGCATCGGTTTTCTTTCGAAATCCATTCTGCATTTTACCCTCCCCGGTATCAGAGCTTTCTTCAATCTATTTGAGATCAATTACATCTTATTCAAAAGGATATTGATTCTTCTCCTCTAGACGAAAGTCGCCACAAACATGAACAGACTCTTACAACCAAACTATATGATCTCCTTGAAACTAAAGAGTCTATACTATGAAATCTAGGGACCTTTGGCTAAGTCTCAGGGATGCCAATATCCCTTATTTCTTTTGATCTCTTTGCCCTTGCAGGAACCGAAAATCAATCTTATCTTTGGTGGACTCTAGCAGTCACTTGATCTAGGGAGAGCAACTTCATGAAGAGGCGATCAAGTTCTATGAAAACCTCCTCGCCCCTCATATGCCATAAGGTTTTCTCAGCTAGTGGTGACTAGAAAACCTTACTTTTGACTCAAAGTGTGCCTGTGACAGCATATTTTGGGGAAGGAAATTTAAGATGACATCCTCAACACAAATCTGGATAAGGCCTTTGGAGTCGATGGTTTTAATTCCCGCTTCTACATTTCCTGTTAACATATTATTACGAGCGATGTTGCTACTACGTAAGGATTTCTTTAGCAATGGAAAGATGCTTGGAGGTAAACATCACCTACCTTACTCTTGTTTCCAAGAAGATGAATCCCCAGCCTTCTGCTGATTTTAGACCCCTTTTTATATACAAAGTACTCTATCGGTTTATTTTGAGATTATATTGAATAGGCTTGTTAAGGTGCTTCATGACATTATCGATGCACTTTCTTGAAAGGTCAGTTTATTCATGAAAATATAACTTTGTGTCACGAAACCGTGCACAATTATCATCTCAACAAAGGTCCTCCGAGAATAGGTTTAAAAATCGATCTCCACAAGGCCTACGAGTCGGTTAGATGGGATTTTCTCCTACATTTACTAGAACTTCGTAAATTCCCAACACAGTTCATCAATTGGGTTTGGTCATGCATCATAAATACAACTTTCACCATTAACTTAAATGGTGCTAATGTGAGTTTCTTCAAAGGGACCAAGGGCCTTAGACAAGGCAGCCCTATCTCTATGTGATTATTATACAAAATCTTTTCAACTGCATCATCAGTGTCATAACCCTCTATCAACTTATCTTATGTCTGCGAATGACTTATTCTTAGTAGCAAATCTCTCATCGGCTGCTTCTATTCATGATATCATACATCAATTTGCTAACGATTCTAGTCTAGAAAACAACACAGGGAAATTCCTTATATTCTTTGCAGGATGTCTGCGGAATACTCAGCAAGATATCTTAAACTTATTGTATGTCTTTTGGTTTTATTTCTACCACATTCTTGGGAGTACCCTTAATTAGTAAACGATTATCCTTCTCAAATTGTATGCCTCTCATACAGTCCATTGCTAATTAAATTCAAAGTTGGAAGAGTCATCATCTTTCCGATGTTGGCTGTGTTCAATTGATTCAAGCTGCTATTAATAATAAAATACTATATTGGTGCAACATCTTTCTCCTCCCATATAAACCGTTGCATGTAGGTGGACTTGGTATTTGGAACATCCAATCCCTCAACTAAGCCTGCTTACAACAACAAAGCCATAAGTCCTAACTATTTAGGGTCGACTACATGGATTTTTTGCCGCTATTAAGATATATAAAAAATCATATGTTTAGTTAAGTTCAGAGTACTTAAATGTTTATTTATATTTTCTATTAAAGTCTTTTTACTCTTCCTCTACCTCTTCTTGTACCACTAATATTAATTACTTTACCTCTTTTGACTACTGCATCTAAAGGTCTCGTCAACATATGCCTATACCATCTTAAATGATTTTATCTCATTTTATCCTCTATCGAAGCGATACCTAGTTGTTCATGAATAAAAATATTTCTTTTTAAATCTTTCCTAATAACTCTACACATCCATCTCAACATTTTCATCTCGATAACACAAACTTTTTGTATATATTTTTTCTTAACTGTCCAACGCTTAGATCCATAAAGCATTGTTGGTCTTACAACTATCGTATAAAATTGTTCTTTTAATCTCAAAGGTATCCAATGATCGCACAAAACTCCTGATATCCCTCGCGATTTTAACCATCCTGTTTTTATTATATGAATAATATCTTCATCGATCTCTTCATCTTATTGAATAATGGATGAAAAATATAGAGGCTTCCATTAGGTCATTGACAACTAGCGTAAAACTATATCAGTTTCATAAACATGGATCTTCTACTAAGCCTGCTTACAACAAATTATCTGGGTGGTGGCTTTAAAAAAAGACTCTTTGAGTTGGATGGATTAGAAGCATGTTACAGGTTGGGGTCAAAGCATTACATAATGTCACTCATATTATTGGAGATAGGGAAGACACTTATAATTGGTTTGACCCTCTGAGAGTTGTTTTGAAGCTTACCATTAGAGATCTTATACAATATGAGATATCTTTTAACCCTTTGGCTCGGGTTGCTCATATTCGCAAGGATGGAGTCTGGGAAGTCGACCACCCCCATTCCCCGACCCTCGTTCTAATTTGGGACAGTCTTTATAAAGTTAAAGCCTTTCCGAATGCCTAGAAAAACTGTGGTTAGGAAGCCTTCATATTCTGGAAAATTCACCTTAAAATTAGCTTTTGAAGCTTTGGAGGAACCACGTACCGAGGTTACATGGAGCAAACTTATCTGGTTTAAAGGGCACATACCATAGTTTTTTTTCATCTCATGGCTGGCTTGTTTAAATAGGTTGAGCACCACGGATAGATTGTCTAAATGGAGGATATGCACTAACTCCACCTGTTTCTTATGTGGCCAAAGTGATGAAAGCATCCGGTATCTATTTTTCGAGTGCCCCTTCTCATCATATATTTGGGGATCTATGCTAAGGAATACAACTTGTTCACACACCCCTAGGTTGGGCAGCTGAATTGACATGGATATCCCAACAAATGCCAAATGTTAGTTTTTTGAGCCGGATTAGGAAGCTGGTCTTCACCTTGACCATGTATCATGTGTGGGTTGAGAGATATCATAAACTAAATGCTCAGAGATCTCCAAACCTTATTATCTTTGTTACGGTTCATGATGTTACAAGGATATTACAGAGTTGCCTTAGTCATGCCGAAGACAATGTTTCAAATCGGGCCATTGCTAAAAATTGGAACTTGTGCCCCATGTTTAAGACTCCTGAGTACACTTGGCATTGCTGGACCCCCCACCTGTTAGCGTTGTTGTGCTACATACAAATGCCTCCCTATCTGATTCCATGGCTGGAGTAGGGGGGGGGGTTTCTGAGATCATGTGGGCATATCAATATTTACTGTGACGGCAGGAACACCCAAAGAAGGTCCCATCCTTCTGCATGAGCTACAAGCTATCCTATTGGGCCTCTCGGTAGCCAGCATCAGGAATATTGAATCCATCCATCTTTAGTCTGATTCCAAAAGTTGCAATGGACATCCTGCACAAGAGGTACAAGACTCCATGGAGTTGGATTATCCTTGAGCGAATTGAGTTGATCCTGTTGAGATTTGAGCAAGTGACATTCTCTTTTACCCATGGAGAAGTGAACCAGCCTATTGACTTACTCACCTATATACACGTGAGGAGAAGATACTTCTGCCCCCATCGAGTTTCCGCCCGACCTGCAAAAGTTGATTGAAGCAGATATGCAAGGAAAGGAATACCTTATTCAAGTGTAACAGTGTGCATGGGTACTGAATGATTGTTGTTTCTATATGTTGGTTATGATATTACTATCACTAGAATTGGTATTGTTCTCTGTTGGGGTTGTATTTGATGATTCACACGTCTCTGATCTGGTGAAGGGTGTCTTTTGTACATTGTAACCATCTTCATCTTTAATACATTTCTTGTCTTCTTACAGTCATATATATATATATATATATATATATATATATCAGTTAGATCGTACCGAACTGGTTCGAAGTAGGCCAACCAATTATATTAGTAACTAACAATAGAAGTATTATTTATGGATTCATTTCAGAACCTAAAGTTTTGGCAATGGAGGGATCTAGTTTAGGCATTTTAGGATGGTTTAAAGGGATAGAAAAATATGCTGTAGACATTCAATTTATGAGTTGAATTAATTAATAGATCATTCATGTTACATTTTTCAAACTTTTATTGTAAGGGCGTGCTGTTGTTGTATTCCTTGAACTGTGCATGGACTATGTGTATCATTTCATTTGTGTATGCCAAATGCACATAAAACACTGAAGAACTAAGTGATTGCATCACACTGCATAAGATGAAGATATATGTACTTATATATACAAAATATCATTGTCAAGTCAGAATATGATAACTGTTCATTTAATTGCTAAAAGTCAAATTTAGGAACTCTATTTCTATCATAGATCTCTGCTTCTTCCCGCTAAGGTTCATGATTTTATGGCTTTCGGCATCGACTTCTATAGACTTTTTGTTGTTCTTATATTTACTGTCTGCGACTGTGATGTTTTGCTGTCCATTTATGTTTTCATTGGTCTCAACATCTTCATTGTCAAAATTTGCTGATCCATTACTGGCTATATATAGAACCACAGACAAGGCGGACATGGAATTTTGCAGCAAACTTGATGGCTTAATTGGGCAAGGACTTTTCAGTAATGCAATATCAAGTGGACCAAATGCTATGCTTAACTCTGTGCGCTATATGTCATCAACAAGACTTTTCGTTGGAGGTAGGATAAATTTCCCATTTTGTCTACAAGATCTAATCTACATACACAATATTTTGTTGTAGTTTTTGGGTGTACATGTTGAAGACATGTTACTGAATTCAGCTTTGTACTCTACTTTTGCTTTTTCCGTGGTCCACAGGTCTCTCCTATGGGACTGATGATCAGTCACTCAGGTTTTGGAAATGTGGTTGAAGGTAAATAGTGTGGCTCAGCAAATGATTCGTATCTGTTAAAACAATTATTATCAGCTGGATCAACATATTAGTTCCACAATATGGATATTTTTGTTGTAATTGTTATCATAACTCATGTGGCTGCTTTAGTAATGAAACTATTAATCTTTCTACCATGTGGTAAATTAAAAAAACAAAAGATCTAGCACAAAACATCACCTTAAATCTTACTATGAGCCACTCGCTTTGTGTGTTGTCTACAGGCTATCTCATAATTGATGCAGCCAGAGTCATTACTGATAGAGACACTGGAAGGTCGAGAGGATTTGGGTTCGTGAACTTTTGACAATGGTGAATCAGCAAGCAATGCTATGGCTAGCATGGCTGGTCAGGTCTGTGATCGTCTCACAGTATCTTCGTCCTCTTTTAGCTGAGACAGTTTTGATAAAAGAATGGACAATCTGGATGTTGAATATTCATCTATAAGCTTTAGTAATATTTGACATTTCACTTTTAATCATCAGGAATAACAAGGCTGGAAGTATCCATGTAAAGCTGCTCTAATGATAGTCCCGGTGGTGGGCCTCAAGGTGGTTTCAGTGGTGGTTATGGCAGTGGCTATGTCAAGGTTACGGTGGTGGATCTGCAGAACAGAATGACTTTGAAGGGGATTCCAGCATTTTTCAACGAATATAAGATATAATGCTTGCCATGTAAACAAATATCAGCAGCAATATCCATGATCAAATTCACGTGGCAAGCATTATATCTTGATATTCGTCAAAAAATGCTTCAAATTCCCCTGCTGGAATCCACTTATGTAGTTTAATTTGGACCCTACAACAGTAATTGTGGTTTTTATGGTGCGAAAAACCACAATCAGCATACTTAGAAGATGGATATCCTGTTGTTAGGTGTCATTTGTCACTGGTAAATTTCTTCAAGAGATAATATTGATGGGAATGTATAGTATAGTATAGTAGTCGATATGATGTGAATGAAATCGAAAACCATAATGTGTTGAAGTTGAGCTGGGACAAACGAGAAGATGGTGACTCTCGTTATTTGGTACCGTTCCTCCTAATTGGGTTCACAGCTTGCGGTTGTTTCGACATGACCCTCCCCCGTTACCTGTTCTTGCCCTGCAAGTATCATGGCGACAACTTCGTCATGCCTTACGACGAAGGATTCTGTGTGGATCCTCACTTGGCCACATATGGTGGGCGTGGATGGGTGGTGTGAGGGGGAAGGGGGGCACCACAGCGTTTGCGTTGGGCGAAATGGCTCGCCGAGCACATGTGGCCTCGTCAGCCGAACTCCCACTCACTGGGCAAAGTGGTGGCACATCCCTTTCGAGCTCCATCACCCTCACCACCTTCACATCAGATGAGAGGCGGAGGTGGAGGTGGGCAGCGGTGCCCACCTTTAAGGTTTGATCTGTCCGTCTCCATTAGTACCCAGATCTTTTTTGACCTGACATTGTGATGATGCGTGACCTAAATGCTTGATCAGATTCTTTTCAACATCTCCCTCCTTTTGCTGGGATGGAGGGAACTAGAGTGAGATAGATCCCCCGGCCGAACAATTAATTACCTGAGGAACTTGTGCTGAGTGGGAGCTGGCTAGTTCTCATCCCGATTAATTTCATATTAAAAATAAATAAAATTAAGATTAATTTATAAATAATATTTAGTATCAGAGTTTAATTAGTATTTAAACATTTAATCTCCCAAGTGAAAAAAATTAATGTTACTTGTAAGATTTATTTTTAATTTAAATATTTTGATTAATCTAAATGATCACAACTGTGATATAAGAATCTCAAGGCATTAATTAAGCTGAGGAAGTTATCCTCTTGACAGAAAAATTTGCTGAGGTCTGCAATGATCTCTGAGAGTGCGGCACTGTGTGAATGACGGGAGGGAAGGAAGGCTACATCAGTTCAGGTATCCAACCCTCAATTCTGATCCGCAATTATAACAAGAAAAGACTGCTACTGCCATCATTTTCTTCCACCATTATTCCAGCTGGTTGAGCTATGATAGTTTATGATAACAAACATTGCTATTAACAACATGATAAGAAGCTTTCGATTCTTCCTTCCTATCATCAAAAACACCCATAATCAACTGAATTGGATCCATCACTCCCTTCTTAATTAGCAATCAAAAAGTGAATGAATGGACAAAGTGAAGTGTGTAATAAAGTCAAGAAAAAAAAACTCTTCTTTGTTAACTCCATGACACCATAGTCAACAAGCACAACCCCACCACCCAAACTGACCTGTCACCGACCACCCCGTTCTCCACACTTCCTCAGGCATGATGTACGATGCACTTATATTAACAGATGAGATGCAGCTGTACTGAGAGTGCGAGTAAGAGAGAGAGAGACACACACACAAATATGGACGCATTGATTACAATTTAAAGTCTGTGTTTGGATTTACATCCCACAGCAAAATCCAAGCGATCTTCACAATTACAGAAGTACTTGACACATTATAACTTGGAAAGAAAAAGATAAAGAGGAACCATGACATCATTCTTCTTCAGTCTTGGTGTCTCTTAGCTCTCTTTCTTCCTTTCCGCAGTTCCTTCTGCTTCGGTTTCCAATCATCATCATCAGCTTCTTCTTCTTTTATTACCATTGCTGATCTGACTGCTGTTGATAGTAATCATAAATGAGAACAAATGTATAATTGGGAAACAGCAAATAGAAGGTACAGTTGGCAATCCCTCCTCAGGCCGACGCCTCTTCCTCGGCCTCCTTTTCCTCCATCTTCTTCATCTTGCTGTGGACATTATTACCCGTCTTTACTCCGTAGTATTCCACATACCACTTCACAAACTTCTTTAGCCCGGTCGCGAGATCGGTCGTCGGCCGGTAGCCGAAGTCTTTCTCGGCCAAGCTCACGTTGGCATGCGTGTAGGGCACGTCGCCGTTCTGCGGCAGCGTCACCACGTTCTTCTTCGCCTTCTTCCCCAGCAGCTCCTCCAGGATCCCTACCATCTTTGCCACCGGCACCGGCGACGTATTGCCGAGGTTGTAGACCCGCAGCTGCGCGGGACCCCGCTTCTTGCTGCCGCTGCCGGTGCTCGGCTTCGCGGTGTCGAGCGCGCCGAGGCAGCCCTTGACGACGTCGTCGATGTAGGTGAAGTCGCGCTGGACGGCGGCGCCGTCCTGCATGCGGAAGAGGGTGATGGGCTTGCCGGAGATGATGTCGTTGGTGAAGGAGAAGTAGGCCATATCGGGGCGGCCCCACGGCCCATAGACGGTGAAGAAGCGGAGGCCGGTGATGGAGAGGCCATAGATGTGGTTGTAAGTGTGCGCGATGGCCTCGCCAGCTTTCTTTGTCGCGGCGTAGAGCGAAGCAGGCCGGTCAGTGCGGTGGAGTTCGGAGAAGGGGGTGGCGGTGTTGAGGCCGTAGACGGAGGAAGAGGAAGCCCAGACGACGGCGGGCTGGGGATCGGCGTGCTTGGCGGCGATCTCGAAGAGGGCGACTAGTCCGGCGACGTTGGAGGCCACGTACGACTGGGGATTGCGCATGGCGTAGCGGACGCCGGCCTGGGCGGCGAGGTGGAGGACGTGGGAAAAGGGCACGACGTCGAAGAGCTTGGTGAGGAGCGGGGTGTCGTTGATGTCGGCGTCCAGCACCAGGACGCCGTGGCGAGAGAGGAGGGACTGGCGGGCGCGCTTGAGCGAGGGGTTGTAGTACGAGTTGAAGTTGTCAAGCCCGACCACGCCGTCACCGCGCTTCTTCAACGCGAGCGAGCAGTGGGTGCCGACGAAGCCCGCGGCGCCGGTTACGAGGACGGTGAGACCAGAGGGGCTGCGCGGGGTGGCAGATCGGCGCACCTCCCGCTCCCACGCGGCGCCGCCATAGGTGACAGCGGAGGAGAGAAGGCTTCGGTGGTTAGAGTGAGCAGCGGAGGAGGCGGCGGCACCGGAGTGGTAGAGGAGGAGCGGAGGGTAGTGGAGCGTAAAGAGGAGGATGAGCACTACGGTGGCGAGGATGGAGGCGCGGAAAAGGAGGTGGGAGGAGGCGGCGATGACCTTGGTACTGTTAATTCGGCGGAGGAGGTAGCCACCGTGGCGCTCTAGCTTGAAGCTCTTGCTCGTGTCCGGCGCAGAAGCCATTTCCTCTCCTCCTCAATCACGCAGCAGTGACCAAATGGCAGCGGTAATGGAGTTCCTCTTTGTGCTGGGCTGAGGAACTGGAGGCGGAGAAGGGGAGTGACGGATATAAAAGGGAGGAGGAAGCCAGTGAGAAAGTGAACGAGTCGAGTGATGACAGAGAAAGTAGAGAGAGAACAGAGACAGGTGGGGTGGAGTGGGGCCTCGAGTGAGGTTGGCATCGGTTGAATCAATGCCACCTGTTGCTTTTCCTTCCTTCTCCAAGCCAGTAACAACAGCACAGTAGTTCGCAGAGGCGAAGAGAAATGTGGGCGGTGGTTGAAGCGGAAGAGAGAAGGGGGGGGGCGGGGGTTGCGGCATTCCGAGTTGACAAAAGCGTTCGATGGGGTGCACCGACAGTCGCCATGTCCTGACAGAAGACAAAAGCTCTGCATTTGGACCACTGTGACTAAATTGTTGCTAAAACAGACGCATGAGATTACAGACAACAGCTGCATGGAAGATGATGATAGTAACAGGTTGCATAGCAATATATCTTATCGGATAGGGTGACTACTGCCAAGCTCAAATTCAGTGATTGCACACCAAATACTTGTTGTGATAGATAGATTCTACACTCAAGAACGAAGTAGATCCTCGCTATCCTAGCTAGAGAAACAAGTACGACCATCGTCGATCACCTGCGTCTACCAGATGGCATCACATATTCCTGACGATGGAGTCTGCAGTAGGGTCGGTGATTCAAGACCGAAACAAACTGCAGTATTGCTTGTTTTATACGTGTATGGGTTGGTGGTAGCCTGGAAATCACATGTGAGTTTGGATAATTATATCGAACTTACATGCCTGTCTCTGCTCTTTGCTTTTAGACAACAGCCTACGAGGAGTGGCACATGCCCTTGGCTTTAACTCGTGGTGGGATAGTTCTGGACTCTTTGTGTTTCTTTTGGAAGATGGGCTTATGACAGCAGTAAAGTCTGGAACAGGTCACTCACGTTTCCCATGCTGTCATTAATTAGCTCACAGACCACAAGGTAAGGTGCGTCGAGGGTCATCATGAGGAGAGGAAGGATTTGACAGGTCTCACTCATGCATGGGAATCGGGATGGGGCCCCTAATTTTGTTCCTGGTTGATCTCATCTTTCCTAAAGCATATGTTGGACCAAAACTAATTTGTACCCATGTTTACAGGATACAGAAACCATACAGAGTATGGTTTTGCGCATCTCTCTCTCTCTCAGAGGTATACGTGCATGCATATCTTTCCATATAAGAACACTGTAATAGTCACCAGGTAATTTAGATATGTGCTCTCAGAAGAAGGATCTACCAAGTTGTAGATGCGTGTTGTCTCCAGCGTAGCACGTGTTTGATACCATGGAGACGAAACACTGTCTTCTTCAATCAACACGCGTTTTTCTACTGTTTCACCACAGAATCACGGACTAGAGTAGTCTGAGCCAGTCAAAGTGACGAGAAGAGAGATGTGCAGGTCTGAAAGAGAAGAAAAAGGACACCAGTGGACACCGACTCTTCTTGCAGACTTCCTCCACAGCCGACATTTATAGGCTACAGCGGAGCACAAGTCTGAGTTCTGGTACATATCATTAAGATGAACATGCACAGCACACTTGGTCTATGTATCAACTGTCGGCAGGGATTTCTATTCATATATGCATTTGATTCGAGATTATTAGGATTTTGCAAAGTGTGGCTTGTTTATTGTGGTCCTGAGAGCCTACAATTTTGCACATTGATTCATTAATTGTCGGCAGACTGGGAGATCGGTTGGACCAGAGAGAAAATGAAGTGATGAGAACTAGCAATAGCATTGGGGACA